TTGGCTGTGTGTGTATGTGTGGGTGTGTAGGTGTGTAGGTGGATGCGAGTATGAGTGTGGGTGTGTGTATGGGGGTGTATAAAAAGAAACTCACACTCACACCGACACCCACACCCACCTTACTTTTCCGATTTGATCCTTCCTTCCTACAGAAAACCTTTAATTAATGCTAAAATAGCAAGCTGATTCATGTCTGCCTGATACGATTCGCCCAGGAGTACTCTCCAAGTTCGAGACACACCCATTCGGATAGATCTTGACGAGCTCTATCCAATGGACACCTTACCCATTCGATTCTGTTATCCCATCACACAGAAAATCTACTATTTAATCTCAACTCACTTGATTATTTTGGTTTTAAACAGAATATAGAGCCCTTATTTTTGGCAGACCAACAGCATTATATGAGCACTACAACCAGTAAAAAAAAGTCATACTTTTCTGATATATTATAGACATTATATGTACAAAAAAAATCAGAATTGAGATATCTCACAGACTAGCCACGCCTATATATCGTGTACAGTAGCGAAGACTATGGAATGAGCTAACCACGCATTTTGATTGAGACTATTTGAATGGCAATGTTTTTGGAATAAGAGAAGGGAAATGTCGAGCAGTTAAACATAGAGAAGAAGGCCTTGTCGATGCTCTTCCAATAGTAATTGGTCTCGATGATCTGAATTTTGTTAAAATTTTTCTGATGATACCAAGTCAAAAAACAAATAAATGGAGTGAAATATCATTCTGTATTTGATCAATTATAAGTATCAAGCAGAAAGGAAACAAAGAGAAATATACTCGTATGACAACACCTAATAAATGATGAAAAACTTTTTAAAACGGTTAAAAAATATACTACTGATGCCTTTATTCGATAAACACATTCGGACGCATAGATGCGTCGCCGGGAGCCAAAGGGTTAAAGGTGTTCTTCTATATGGCTGTGACTTTCAGTCATCTCTACATCCCCTGAATTAAAGACTTTCATATCATTGCAGTTACTCCTAATTCGTGACTTGTTTTTTCAGAGCATTTTCATTTACATATTGATCGGTTTTGTATTTATTAAGTTGCAAAAGTCTTGCCAACACTGCTGTTATTAACGTATTTAGCTTAAACTACTACAGTCGATTCCATTGAAAACGATTCTATGTGCTCAGATAAGTGGATAAATATCCATTTATGTCTTTTATTAGGGAAATTTAAGCGACTAGACGAGTGTTTTGACGAAAAAATATTGTTAAATTGTCATTATCGTGAACTGTGACCGTCGTGTCATTGAAAAAGGTTGTCAATTGATCTTTCTCTATCACTTGATCAAATCACTATAGGAGACGACCTATTACAATTTCGTCACCTAAGTCTGCGAACACACATACATTAAGATTTTTTAGTATTGGGCAATAACTTTTAAGCTATTGGGCGATTGCCCAAGGCTGGCTGCGCTACTGTAAGTATGGTTCATATATTGTTGGAAGTTCAGACACTTACTATGAATATTTTCCTTTATTTTAACACAATTGTCAGCGAAATTTTGAAGCTTATAGTGTTTTGGAGAGCATGTGAAATTAGAAATAAACTAAATCAATCAGTTGAATATGAATTGTTGAAATCATTGAAGATTTTACTAAATTTGGCAGCTCTGTTTATTTTCTCGAACAGTAATATGAATTGCGGTTAGATTTTCGAGTGCAATTTTTATTAAATCTCATTTTTCGTTTTTACTATTTTCTACTCCTTAAAATGAAATGTACTTAAAAAGCATAAAAATGTACCTTAAAATAGATGGAAAACAAAATCTCTCTATGATTAGCAATAATAGATACATCATATTTCACACTTTAAGCCTGTAGGAATTGCGCTAACAACTCTTCAAATTCATTTCTATTTTTGCTATAATTATTTAATGAAAGTTTTTTTTGTACTCGATATCCATGAAGGAGGAGGGTCAAAAGGTGCGATTTTTATCTGTACGCCTTTTATGCATCATCCCAAAGTTCTACAAACGGATTTTATTGTATTTCATTTTTCTTATGATGACTCATCAACTAAATATAACTATGCATTAAAAAAAGTAGAATTTTGGCATGAAACAATAGGCAAAATAATTTCAGCTGTTATAAATTCAAATCAAATGAACTAAACAACTGCTGAAAAGTTATTTTGTTGTCTTACTGATTGTGGAAATTTTTTTCGAACAACTTTAGTCTAGACATTGTCTTCAACGGTCAATTTCTATTAAAAGAATGTTTCGAACGTTGTTTAACTTGAAATTATCTACGAACTGACATACGCCTAAAAAATTATTTGGCATAGTTTTCGTAATCAATAGTAATTTAAGACTTGAAACATTATTTTTCTTTCTTGTTTCTAAATCTAGAACAGTTCAATTACTTCGAATAGATCATCTCTTATTTTCTATTGACGTTGTCAACGAGAACAAATGAAGTGTATTCTACAATTAGTTGAAACCATTTGGCAACGATTCGGTTGTTAATATTTAAGCTAGTCAATCTTCTACGAATACCTAAAAAACTCAATTACATTTTTTGTGGACAAAATGAAACTTATATTCTTTTTTTTCTTCTTGTTATTGTTTCTACTACTGCCAATGTTGCCTTTTTTTTCTCATTGCATATATTAAAAAAGTATATTCGCTTATATGTTACTTGAATAATAAACAGAAGAAAGAATAAACTATTTTTTTTCTCTCTCTCTCTCATACATATTTAATACAGATTCTATATATATAATTAATGGTTAACCAAAAAATGAATACTTTCAAAAGTCAATTTCATTTTCTTTTTTTCTCTGTCATTTTTTTCACGAATCAGTCTGTTTGATTATACATAAAAAAGAATAAACAGAAAAAAAAAGAATTGAGAATAGTAACATACAGATGATAGAACTCGTTCTCTATATTCTATGATTTCATTAACATAATATTACCAATATTATTGCTTATTTAACTGAAAAGAACAAACAAAAACCTGTCTTGACTAGCATAAATTGTCAATTCATTATACAACCGATGTTTTATATCGCCTAAACAGTAATAGTTCGAAAAGAAACAAATCTATCTTTCTCTCTTTTTTCTTCTCTGTTTATCTATCCTACCGTTTTTTTTTTCTTTGTTCTATTGTTGATCATTTGGCATACTTGTAAAGAGAAAGAAGAGAAAAAAAACGTTGAACAGAAAACAATTCTACTATCGTCGTGATCAAATTCACAAAATCGTTAATTTTCCTTTTTTGACGCAACCGTAACGTTTCGGGAGTTGTGTTCTTTATTGTTTTTTCTTTTCTTTTTGTGTCTTACAATTACTATTACCATTACTTATTGTCCATTGGACATCATAATAATAAAAGAATAAAACAAAAAAAGGTATGACAAAATTAAATATTTAAATCTAAATCATATAAATATCGAATTAATTTTATAGTTTAATGGCAACTGAACTGATGAAAAATGATATCGATCGTTTAACACTTAGTCGTGCTCAACATCTTAAAACTTATAACAATCGACTTAAATCAGTATCCGATGATGAAATTGATGCTATATCAGATTGGTCAGAATCCGATCGTGAATGTTGTCCATTGAGTGATTTTGAATCAACATCAAATGTTGATGGACTTAATGCTAGTAATCATTATGATGTATCATTTGATGATTATGACGATGAAATCGATCAAAAATCATCAATAGAACCAACATTACTTGAAAATGTTTTACGTTTAAATGAAACACCTTTACCAAAAATTAATGATGATACGACAGTTACAAGTCTATCGTATTCAAGTGATATACAAAAACCTAAACAACAACAACAACAACAAATACGAGAACGAACATCAAGTATAATAACTAAAAAAGTACCAATATATAATGAAAAACAATCTCAATCACCACTATTACCTGCTCGACGTATACATAATAAACAAGTATCTCCACGTCGTTCATCAACAAATTCTCATGTATTACCTCAAACAACAAATATTTCACGTAATCGTAAAACAATAACAACAAATTCATCACGATATTATTTACAACGTGAAACAACATCAACAAATATAAGTTTAAATACACAAGTAATAACTGAATCAACATTATCACCCAATAGTTCATTTAATAGTAATGAAGAAAATCATAATCATCAACGACATTTAGCATCACCTAATTTAAGTCAAACATCAATAACAAATAATCTTGTACCACGTGTATATGAATTAAAAAAATTATTTGTTGATGATCATGATTATGGTCGTTTAACTGGTGTATCAACAATAAAAGCAATACCAGCACGTAATCGACAAAAATGGGGTACTATTGTTCATCCACCATTTCCATTAGGATATCAACAAGTAACTCCAGAACAAGTAACACAATCTGTTCAACGTCTTACAAGTCCTATTCGATGTCGTGATAGACATACACCTATACAAACACCATCAAAACGTTATCTATCTGTTGAAGAAACTGACGCTTTGGTAAAAAAAAGCGATAATTTTTTTCTTTAAATTCTTTTTTTTTTTGTTTTAAGATAAATCGATTAACTAAAGTCAAACCAATTCGATCAACGGATCAATATTGGCCAGTACAACGTCAATCACGACCTACTAAAAGTTTCAGTAATGCTTTAAAAACAAATAATAATTGGAAAGGAGTTGGTATATCAGCATGAAAGACTTTCTTCATGGGCCTTTTTTTTTTCTTGAGCTTCAGGGTTTCCTATGTGTGTGTGCGTGAGTGTGTGAAAAATTTTTTTTTTCAAAAATATATTTTTCATTATAATTCAACTAAAAACCAAATGAAGCATTTTTGTGGCTTTAGAATTCAATCATAAAAAGAAAAGAAAATGATATTATGACTTTACTTTTTTTTTCGTTTTCATTTTTTTTTTTTATTGAAACAAACACAATAACAAACAAAAAGAAGAATGATATAGATAACTGATGGATGTGTTTGCTTGTATTTTTATTTTTCTAGAAATTTTGTTATTGTTTTTCATGAACAGCTTGTGCCATAAATAATTTAGCTAAACCTTGCGCTGTAAATTGTGTGATATTATCACATTGATTATTTATTTGTGATGCTGTTACTAATGCACTACGTCTTGATTGTGAAAACATTTTAGTCATACGTTCAAAATCTTCATCATAACCATCATTACGACGATTTGAATCACGTTGATTACGACGACTTTGTTGACGTTGAAGTTGTTTTTGATAATTTGTATAACGTAATGCATCAGCAGCAAATTCATCAACACCATCAATTAATGAACGAAGTTGACGTTCAAGATTTCCACTAGAAAGACAAAGGAAAAAATTATTATTTTAACAAGATTTATAACAAAAAAAACCAAAACGTTTTACTTTGTGCCTAAATCAAGAAATGCATTTGATTTTGAACTAAGTCTTGTTTGTTCATCAATTTCACATAAAAGTGAATTGACTAAATGAGAATTTCTAAAGATAACTGGTAATTCTTCTAATAAAGTTTCAAAATTAAGATTAGCTTGTCTTGCACTGAAATAAAATAGAAGAAAAACAAAAAATTAGTAAAATATTGCAAATAATTTAACGATTAATTTCTTCTCCAGGTAATGAAAGATTTTAATACTAAATTTTTCAGCGGAAATAATTTGTCTCATTGAAAGAAATTTGAATAATTATTTTTTTTTTTATTCTTAGAAAAATTTATTTACTTGAATAAGTGAAATAAGTACGAAGAGAAATGTCTTTAAAATGTTTCTCAACTATAATGCATCATGTCAACATTAATCGTTGCTTTGTTTTTTTTTCTTCTTTGAAAAAGTTTACTCTATAGAACATTTCAACATAGTAAATATTTGTTCATTTGTGCTTAATGAGATGTTATTATTATATGATCTCAAACAATAGTTTACAATGTCTGAAAAGAATTTCTTTAGACGTATTAGAATTCATGCATTAAAACATTAAAATTTTATTCTTTTATTTGACTAACGATAGAACCTCTCCAGATTTTACCTTTCGATTTCAATGTTTTTTTTTGCCTATAGATATTATATAATGCACTAATAAAATCTCCTTGAATAATTCAGATTTCTGTCTCTCCCTTCAAAATTCATGAATATTTTATTTTACCTCTATAATGTATAGCATATATTATTAAAAAAAACAATTTGTCAATCAATCAAAATGCAAACTAAAAAGTCAAAAGATTATTTTTATGATGTTGTTCGATATCTATCACATTGAAAGATATTTTAATTAGTTGATCATAGAAAAATCGAAAGGAAAACTATTTAAAAAAAAAAGTGATGTCTCCAAGGTGGACATGAGTGCAGATGAAGAGAAGACTGGCACCCACACACACTGTAAAAATAGCGCAGAATAATAAACCCTACGAGAAAGGTTTATTAGCATCTTCAAACTTTCATAAACTCTTCTTGGGTTTATTATTCTACCGTTCTTTTCTTATAATGCACTCCCTATGTGAAAAATAAAGAATGTCTTATTAGTTAACATTTTCGGTATTTTTCTTTTCAGCCTTTTGACAATAAACCTTTGTATCTTTTAGTTCTTTTTGTTGTCAAGTTATAGAATTTTGTTTTCTGAAGAAAAACCATACACAACATTACTTCATGTAAAAATATCCATTTGAACTATCATTGATTATATGTGTTTGTAGTAATGATTTTTTTTATATTGTTACCAGGTGAAATTATTTTTCTTTCCTGATTTAATGATATTTTCTATACATTCTGTCATATGTGATACATATGTATAGGTTCTTTCCTTTTTTTTCTTTACTATGTATTGCAATCTGTTTTCCACTTTGATCTATATGATATTTGTCCTCCTCTTTCCTTTTTACTGTTATCCAATGGCGTAATCCCATCTGATCATAGGGGCTACTATCATAAACATAGCTGCTGATCTTCTAAGAAAGATCTGCTATAGTGTTACTACAAACATATAATCAATGATAGCTGAAATCGATCTTTTTACTTGAAGCAATATGTTTTGCATGATTTTTTTTCTGAAAACGAAATTCTATAACTCGACAACAAAAAGAATTCAAAGTTTAAAATTCATATCAATATAATAGATATCAAACATTATCAGAAGAAAAACAATTTTCTAAATTTTAGTTTTATGTTATGCCCTATAGAATAGGAACCCAAATACTTTAAGGGTTTTTACTAAAGTATCTATAGAGAAAAAAAAATCATTGAAGTTGGCCAGATGAAGGCGCACCTGTTGAGGTTCCCTCATAAGACAAAAAAACCTGATTGGTAAGTAAATCAATTTTAAAATTTTTCAAATAAAAATTCATTAGTTTTTAATTTCCGTTCTATCACATTGACATCTATTGAGAGAAAATAATTTTTAATATTTTACTTGTCTGGTGAAAAATACTCTTCATTCTTTAAATTTTCAAGTGCAGCAGGTGTTAAACGATATGCTTTTAATTTAATATAACCTTGTAAAGCCAATGCTTGATCTAAACAAATAAATTTTAAAAAAAACAAATATGTCTCTTTAAAAATCTATTTATAAATAATTAACCATAAACAAGTGCAATAGATTCTTCAACACCGGACAATTGATAAGGTACCATTGATTGTACAAGTAAACGATTGAAGCTGCTATCATAAAATCCAACTTGTAAATAATCCGAATTGACTCGACGTAAATTTCTTATTATATCCGCTTGATATTGTTCAAAATCTAGATCAATATTTCTTATTATAAAATTATTATTTGTTAAAATTTTAAATTTTACCAAGATCAAGATTTTCTGGTTTATTTTGATTTGGAAATGGAAAACAATTTGTTATTTCAAGTGTTGAGTCCTTAACCAAACCAAGAAGACCACCTTGTGCAGCATCTGTTGTTTCTTCATGAGCATGTTTTATTATTTTTAATATGACCTATTCGATATGAAATTAAATCTTTTATACAATAAAAATAAAAATTTTCTTGATATAATACCATAGCATCAACATAAACATCTTTGATTGAATTTGATGTTGATGTCATTGCAGCAGAACCAACTTTTGATGAATAATTCATTTGAGAGCTGTTCGATGTCATTGTTGTTAGTTTTTATTTTTAATAGAAAATAAAATCTAGAAAATAAAATAAACCCATATTAAGTAATAACAACATCGCTTACTCTTTTGACGAATAGAGGCTAACAAATAAATATTCATGCATGCTCTTATTCTTATTTCTCTAGCGACACAATCAATTCAATTCATATATAAACAATAGCGCTGTAAAATCAAAAAAAATAGAAATCATTGATTTGTGGTGTTTAAAATTAAGAAAGGAAAAGGTTCGCTTTGTATCTATTTATTTCTGTCGAAAAATAAAATGAGTACAAAACGTATTCGTAATCGATATTCTCGACGACAACAGCATACAAATTATAATAATAATAATCGTCATCGATATGCTAAAAAAGCAATTAGACAACCACCTAACGAAGTATGAAATGAAAAAAATAATCAACACATCTAATTTTATTTATTCAGATTAAATCGGATCTAATTCATCAATTTAATATTTGGTGTACAAGTTTACGAACTATAGCAACATATGAATTTGATAATGTGGAAGAAAATAATCATCGATGCAAAGTTGATTAAACGACATATATTTTTTTTCCCTAAGTTCAATTTTTTAATAGATGACATTACCCATATTTCCTAATTTACAATCAATTGGTAATGGAGCAAATACAAAGAAAGAAGCAAAAGCAAATGCTATTATTGCTTTTCTTGCTCATATGGAAAAACGAAAACAAATGGGATTATTTGTACCATATATGGTAATGATTAATATTTCATAAAGAAAATTAGTTTTTATCATTAAACAAAGATATATTAATAATATGATATCATAATTCTTCTTTCGTTAATTTATTCAATTCTTTTTTTCTTCGATAGAAAACTATTGAATAGATTCTATGAAGGACGTTTTGATCATAAACTCTGTCTTCATTTCGTTGAATCGTTCTACTCATATTGAGATTTGAAATTCATCACTAGTGTCTAGATCTATATTAGAGTGATATATATATGTTAGCGTTCAATGTCAGATCGGAAAATCGTAGCAATTCAGGTAATACAATAAATGATGGAGAAATTAAAGTAGGATTCATGAAGTTATGGATAAGTTTTTACAGAAGAACAACAGTTATGAAGAGTTATCCATAGATGTTTGAATCCAGAACTTAGTTTCTTTATTGATGATTGTAATATCTGAAATGCCATTATTTCCACACAGTTCATCAACAAGAATTCAAATCTAACGTCTATCGAAAGACGAATGGTGATTTAATCTCAGTTCGAACTAGAGACAGTCACATGGCATTTTTTTCGTCTTGAAATGCTCTCAGGGTCAGGTAGGGCAGGGCAAGGTGCTCTCAGGGTATGTAAACTGAGGTTAACTATTGAATGGTTTGATAACATAACGAAAAATTTTTATCATGTTTACATTTAGTGCTCATACCTTTTGAATATAATTTCAAAATAATATTATTCATGTATAAAAACGATTATAAATCTGTTATAAATCGATTGAAATTGTACGATTTCCATTCAATTATAATTTGATTTTAAGCCTCTATTTTGGCTTTTTCTAATTTCTAGGATTTTTCCCAATGTCTTTTATCGATTAAAGAGAATCAGAAAAAATCTTGTCAATACTAAAGTTAAAACTTGATGACTAAAAGTTAGATTATACTTTAGAAAAAAGTGTCATTTTAATTTATTTTCGATGGAGAAATCATTCTTTTTTAGTCCAATATCTTGGCTTTTTGAGCATAGGTGCATGATACGAGTAGCGTATTCATATAAAAAACAAGATATCTGTCAATGAAAACAGGGATTCTTTGTGAATGGGTATCGTTATTTATGTGATTCAAAGTCTTTCATTACCTTTTAGCAGCAGGTTGAGATTCATTTTATTATTATTTCCTTGACGTATCTATAATATGATAAGAGATATTGAACATCCTTGGAATCAAAAGAGTTCTCATTGAACGATAATGAATTAGATTAAATAACATATACACAAGTTCTAATGAAATCGATCAAAAATATGAAATCATCATCAACTGGTGGAATTAAATAGATGGGACACATTCTAAAACATTCATGTTTGCATTTTGGATGCATGAACACTAACATATACTTTACTCTATTCATTTATCATTTTAATGTGTTCATTGGATTTACATCGGTAAAAATTCAAACTTTTACAAAGTAGTCAATATTTAATGATATTTAAGGTGTCGACTATTCGAAATTTGAGCAAAATTTTTTTGTCATGTTTGGATAAAGCTCGTCAAGTTACTTGTAAAAATATTATTTTTGACATATTCAAATGATGTTTTCATAGTGAAACTTAGGTTTCAAAAACAAAATTAGAAAAGTCTATAAAAATTGTAATACATCAAAAGCATCAAATGCTGATCGTTTCAGAAGAAACGAATATCATATTCAATATCAATCAAAAAAGAAAATCTGCATTGAATAATATGCTCAATACTTAAATCTAGTTTTCATCAAATTTTGATCTATACTCCCCCGCAGTGTTATTTTCGAATACTATAATCTGCACTCCCCCCTCTTCCCCCCCCCCCCCCCCCTAAGATCAAAATTCGATAAAAAAATAGATTCGATTATTGAATATATGATTCGATACAGATTTTTGGTCTAATTCTGAATATGATATTCGTTTCGTTTGCAACTGAAGTTCTAAGGATCAAAATCTTCGAATATAAATCTGAATTTATGACGTTTTGCTATTATATCGAAAAAATTCGGCTAAATATTGAATCTACTACGACTTAATGCTTTTGACGTGTTTCGATTTTTATAGATTTTTCTAATATTTTTCCTAAACATAAGTTTCACTACGAAAGAATCGTCTGAATATGTCAAAAACAAAAATTTTATTCAAATTTCGAATTGCCAGTATCTTATAAATACGAATCAATTCATTAATGTATATTTTTGAAGAAGAACAATTCAAGATATTTAAATAGAGTCTGTTTTATTAGTACGAAAAAAAAAACTGTTTCTCTCATTTTCGAAATTTAACATAGAAATATTTACGATGACACTGACATTGAATATTCTTAAAAAAAAAGTATTTTTTTAAAAACTCTTTAGTTTCCAAATCTACTTCGTAATGTACAAGTTGAATTACGTCAAGCGAACGTTTCAGCACCAGGTTGATTTCTTCTCGAAATCTCAATTTATATATATATATAAATATGTTATTTTGATTTAGATTTAAATATAAATATAAACGAATATCTGTTAGCTGATCGAATGATATCAACACGTCTAGCAAAAAAATATGATAGAATTATAAATATTATTCAACGAATTTGTAATGTTCGTATAATAAGATGTAAGTTTAAATTGAAAAGAATTATTTCTTTAAATAAAATTTTATATCTTCAGTATGGCAAACACAAACTATTACATTTGTTTATATAGTTGGACCTAAAACAAAAGAAGAACTAATTCGAGTAAAAAAACTAAATAATTGAATATAAAAATAATAGTTTTTAGTTGTCTATTAGCCATATGTAAAAGCTTTATTTCAACCGGATAATGAACAAATGTTTAATTATGGAGAAAAATTATTTAGTGTATTCAGTGATGAAAAATTTGTTGATAATGTTTGTCAACGTCTTAAAGTTTTATGTGATAATCATCTGGAAAAATGTAAATTATTTATTCGTGGAAGGTACAAAAAAAAATTAAAACTCAAAGGTCAAAAGTGGATTAGATCATTTTTCTGTTCTACAATAAAATCCACTTTTCTTTTATAATTTTTCAGTAAGACATAATGCCGGATGTTTCCCACGGAGATCGATGGAAAACTTTATCTTTGTTGAAATTTGTATTTTTTAATAGAGTCAAGTGCCCTGGTTACGAATATCAGTATATTGAACACTCAAAGCTTTTTAATAAATAAGAAAAATAATCCTTTTTCAGGTATTCCTAAGTATCGGAAATATTTGGTATGCTAGAGAGCCGTGTACAACGATGATTTAATGTGCTGAACACGATGGTGAAGTCAGTTACTCAATAAAGCTCTTAAGATTTTGATAAAATTTTCCAGAGAATCCTCAAAAAACCTTGACGTACCATTTGTTTTGACTTTTTGAGCCCGCCGTCGGATATAGCAATGAAAATGACATACACAGTACAAATTTCACATTAGTTTGAGTCTTTTATAGTAAGATTTTGAAATTCACACTTTTCGTTGGAGATGGAGAACAGCAGATTTTGAACTGATAATCCGAATTTTTATAGCCGATCATGTTGCTCAGAGACATTTATACTTCATATTTGAGTGAACTACGTTGTTTTAGCTATCACAAGTCTTTTTTCATGATATTAGAATAATCAAAAAGAGAAGATGCATAAATGAAAAACTAGATGTAAAGCCTAAAGAGAGTACTCGTAAAAAGATTATTTTTCTTATTTATTAAAAAGCTTTAGATGTTCAATATACTGATATTCGTAATCAGCACACTTGACTCTATCAAAGATGAAAAGTTTTCTATCGACCCTCGTGGAAGACATCAAGCATTATGTCTTGTTGCAAAACGATTTTTAAAAAATGTCAATTCTGTTGTGGAATAGGAAAATGACTTTATCCGCCCTTGTCTTCTATCAAATTGATCTTTATTTTTTCTTTTTTTTTTTTATAGTTCAGTTAATGTACAGTGTTGTTATAATGAATTTATTGTACTTCGTCGTGAATTTGAAAATGAATTTTATCGAAATCAAAAAGATGCATTTACAAAACCAATCGAATCTTGCAATCCAATTGCATTAAGAAATTTTACTGAACAATTAGAATCAACACGTATTGATAATGATGATAAAGAAGAAAAAGATAATGATCAATTACCAGATTATTCAATTTATGATGATGATGTTAATGCATCAATGTTAAGAGTATTAAGAAATGAAGAAGACAATCCAGAAGAAGAAACATTAAAGCAAGATGTAATTTGATTTTTCTTTAAAAAAAAAATGAAAATCTTTTTAAAATGATCTCTTTAAGGTAGCAACGAATAATTCACCGATTGTCATTGAAGTTTCAGATGATTCATCGGATAGTGCTGATTTACAAATTGTTCAAACAATTGAACCAAAGATTCCAAAGAAAACAGATCAATTACAACCACCTATTCAGTATGATGTTTTTCTTTTTTATTCTACTTGTTTTTAATAGTCTTTTCTAGACCTCAAAATATGTTTCAACTATATACAGCACAATCTAAACCAATGTCTGAGTATGTCCTTTATTTATTTGTTATTTTCGAAGCCAGACATTTTCGCCGTACGATAGATTCTCGCTGCAAAATGATTTGAAGGAAAACAAAAAAAAGAAAGTCAATAAGCAAAAAATTAAGATAGAATCTGTTTAATGACTATCTCTCTTAGGGCGAAACTGTTTTGTGCGAGGATCTGTTCTTGTACGCAACTTTTCTAGAACTATTATTTCATTGTTTCTTGTAGATTTCCAAGTACATCTCAAGCACTTATGCAATTACCATTACGTCAACCAAGAATTCTCCGTCATATTGTTCTTGATGGACAGAATATTGCACGAAAGTAAGCAAAAAATCTATACCTACGTGATATTGTCGAGGAAAAAAAAATGTAGAACTCACACATTCTCTTTTAATTTGTGTAACTTATAAATAACGGTGAAATATCACGTTTATTAAATAGTATTGTAAGGATAACTGAATATATTTATTTCATTATGCCAATCTGGATTTTTATGTTACTGTGGTTTTTCATGAGCTGTCTTTTTGAAGTCGAATTGTAGTGTTGTGGGTGTAGAAAATGAGCTGTATTCAATGAGATTATCTAAAGTAGTCGTCAAAATTTCCACTATCAGGTACAAAATATCTATACGCGAACCTTTTAATCTCATATTTTAGCAACCCATACTCATCCCTGAGAAGGAGCTGAGAAGTTAACATGTTTTTTTTTGTTTAGGCGAGGATATTTCAGCACTAACAAGACATCTTACAGCGTTTGACTTCTCATTCGAGTGTGCTCAGTATTGCCTCTATCATGAATAAAAATTTCATGTCAAACGATTCGTAGTTTACTTGGCTGATGAAATTACCATTAGATATTCTTAGCATCAGAGCTAATGCGAATCATCAAAACGTAACATGAAATTCTGACTATTTTCTCTTGCGAGTTCTTTACTCTAATCAAATACTCCATGAAAATTCTATGATTATAGCCGATGACGTAGCGGAAATCGATGCAAAGAGACCGTCCTAGATAATGAAAACGTCATGGGACCTTAGGATCACAACAGACTGAAGTCTCCTATGTGTGACACAGTAAAGACATATGGGGCTTTATTTGTTAATAAAAGGATGTTTATTGCAAAGTTAAGAGTATCACAAAAAAACGAAGTTTATCAAATAATTGATAAAAAAAAGTCTTTTTTACAATTTTTGTGACACTTTTAACTTTTTTAGAGAAGGTCATAGAAAATGCTGCAACTCCTCGTTTTGTTCTCTTTAAAATGATGTTGTTGAAAAATAGTTTCTGGAACTTGAAAACTACCATCTCCGAGTTTTTAGAAATCTTGCGGTCATAATTCATCTAGTATAGGATGTATTAGATAGGAAAGTCCATTGACTATTAAAATCACTATCTGGATTTAAGCTCAAAAATAAAGCGAATATTGTATACAAGATATTAAAACAAATTCTAAAACATTTCTAAAATAATGTTCTATTTATTATAGTTCCAATGACTACAATCGTTTATTTTCTTGGTCTCGTTTGTCAAATGCGATCAATTATTTTAAAAATCGTGGTCATGAAAATATCATTGCATTTCTTCCTCTGTGTATGTTTTCGTTTTTTTTTGGATTTGTTTTATTAACTAATCAAGTATTTATATAGATCTTCGAGATTTTTCAAACAAACAACTATCAGTAAATGATATGAATCGTGAACGACAAATTCGTGATTCTTTAATTAATTCACGTTATATTGCATTTACACCATCACGATATAATAATGGAAAACGTTTAACAAATTATGATGATCGGTATTGATCAAAATTTATAGAACTACTTATTCGAATAGAATTGTTTGATAAGTTTTGATCATATCAATTCTCTTACGCAAAGAAAAATAATGTGAACACATGTATTGGGATATGCTCTTCTAGGCTTTAGGAAACAGATGATTGTGAAGATCTATCACATTTTACTTGACCAAAATCATATAATCGGTATCATATTTTTCCGAATGCGACATCAGTTTTTGACTCGAAAGTGACGTTGATATGCAGAGGATCTGATGATGTGGCTGGAAAATATCATTCAAGCTTTATATTTTCGCACGTATTATTGAAATAGAAGCAAGGCTGATTCTTGAAGAACTGATTCAAACAGAAAACACGTTTAGCTTGAAAATAAGATGTCAGAGAACTTCGCGTCTCATTTCTTTAGAAATATAGCTATAGTATAATGATATATGCCACTCAAGAGAGTTCGTAGTGTGTACACAGCACTTTCACCTCTTCTTGAATATTACTTTCGAGAGGTTTTGTTACAAATGATACCGTTTGCAGCAAGATTTACTAGGGATATCGATATCAGTATCCAAGTTTTAACGGCTTTGCAAACCTTTCGTGCCTAACGTGCGTAACATATATTATGATACGATAGCTATCTTTCTAACGAAATGTGACACGAAGCTCTCCGATCTCTTATTTTCAAGCAAAACACGTTTTCTATTTGAATTCACTCTTCAAGAAGCAACCCTACTTGGAGTTCGATAATCCTAGTGAAATTATAAAGCTGAAATGGTATTTTCTAGCCATTTTTGCTTAAGTACTGGATTTCGATTATAAAATCAAGCATAAATCAGTTTTAAAAGTACATTTCATCAAAATGTTTACAATCAGATCCTCTATATATCAACGTCACTTTTGAGCCAGATTGATATCGCATTCAGAAAAACATGACAAAAAATGTGATATTGATTCTATAATTTTGGCCAAGTAAAATTCAATAGATCTTGGAAATCATCTATTTTCTAAAGCTTGGCAGAGCACATTCCAATACTTGTCTCCATATATTCTTTTCTTAGCGTAAGAAAATTGAAATGATCGAAACTTCTCACATAGTTCTATTCGAACAAGTGGTTCTATAATTTTAGCCAGCATTGTATTTATTAAATTAAAAAATAAATTTTTGTTTGTTTTATTAAGATTTATTTTGCAATATGCAGCTGATAATGATGGCATTGTTGTTAGTAATGATAATTTTCGTGATCTTCAACATGAAAAAAGTTTTAAATTTGTTATTAATAATCGGTTTGAATTATTTTTCTTTTTATTCTTTGTTTTTAAAATAAAAAGAAATTTTCTTTAGAATTTTACCATTTGCAACTATAAATGATACATTTATGCCTGCAACAGATCCACTTGGTCGAAACGGACCTAATCTAGATGACTTTCTATCAAAACCATTTCTGTAAATCAAAACAATCGTTGCTAAAAGAAAACAAAAGAAAAAAGAAAAAGAAAAAGAACCAGAATATGTATATTTTGTTTTTTTTGGTTATCTTTATTAATAATTTTGTTTTCTTCTTTATTTTTGTTATTTCGTTAACTTGCGTACATTTATTTTTTATGTTGATAAAGAAACAGCATTAGAGATAATTCGTTTGAAGAAAATTTATTGTTCGTTCTTTTAGATAAATTCAAATGTCGGATATAATAAAATGGGAAATAGCTGATAGACTTCGTCAACGTGCACGTGATGATTTATTTAATTTATTAGAAAGTATTGATGGTACAAAAGATTTATTTATTGATTCAGATTTATTTCCTTTAATTGATTTAACATCAAATGCAACAGAAATACGAAAACACGGTGTTGGAAATTTACATAAACTTGATTCAGCATTAAATTTTCAAACAAAAAATAAACGTCTATTTTTATTGCGACCAAATATAGTTCGATTTTTAACATTAGCTAAACAATTACGTCAATTAGATATTCGTAATGCACATTTAATATGTGTACCAAGAAAATTTTATGCATTTGAACATTTACTTGAACAAGAAGGCCTTTGGGGACGATGTACATTACATGAATTAACAGCATTTGATATGGTTCCAGTTGATTATGATATTTTTTCAATGGTTAATTCACATTTATATTTAAGTATTTATTTGGATCATTCAACGGATTGGCTATCAACAATAGCAGCTTCATTAATTGATTTTCAACAATTATTTGGAAGATTTGCAAATACAATATCTTTTGGAAAATTAGCTGGACAAGTTGCAAGACAATTAGAAAGAGGACAAAGGTAGACGATATTAAATTAAGGATGTACTAAAACTTTTTTATGTGGTTATTGTATAGTCTAAAGATAGAATCTAATGAATAAGTAAATACCCTAGAGTGTTTTGAGCTGCTGATAGTAACATATCGAATTTTTAGTAGATTCTTTCAGTAGGACTCTAGTTTTCAAGTGAAATTATACTTTTGAATTTTGATCTGAAATTTTGCTTACACAAAGGCATCGATTAGATTATTTTTTGTAGAAAAAAAATTCAGATTTTCTCCATTAAGTGTCTCCAATATATGAATTTTTTAAAATATAGGCGCTTTGCAGGACGACAACAAAGATACTTATTTTATTTTCCAATCACCAAAGTATGTATGAGTTTAGCAATTAGTGTGTGGTGTATACCTAATGAGTAGAAAAGATCCTCACACCTTCGTTGTGAATGCTTATCAAGTATTACTCATGACAATACATATCATGCAAAAGTTGTAAAAAAAAATTAAATCAAATACAAAACCAGCTTCTACGTCTCGTTGTCGCTTATCCTGCTAAGCGACAGGTCAGAACGAAAATTTTACATTCATCTTGTCCAATGCTCAGTTCTGACTTGCACTATGAATTCTTCTTCAATTCCAATAATGTTTTTTTGTTTCTCGAAAACTAATGTAAAAAATTCTTTTTTCTAAAAATATAATCGATGTTTGACTTTTTAATTTCGATCTCATTATGAAAATATTTTAGTGCCCTTAATAATCAAGATACAATACCAGGTGGACGACAAATTCAAACAGTTATATTATTTGATCGTAGTGTTGATTTAATAACACCATTTTGTTCTCAAATGTGTTATGAAGGTTTACTTGATGAATATTTTAATATTGAAGGTGCTCGTATGAAAATTCCTAAAACTGATAACACAGATAATTCTGGTAGACAATTTGAGTATATATCATTATCAACAAAAGATGATATGATTATTGAAGGTATACGTGCAATGCATTTCACAAAAGTTTTTCAAGAAATCAAAGGTAATTTCTTTATTTTTCATCAAAAACTTTTATTTATTTTATTTTATTTTTTTTTTGTTGTTGCTTTTAGCTTATTTAGCTAGACAAAATGTTTTACAAAATGATTTTCGTGATAAAATGCAAGATGCATCAATAAGTGATTTAAAACATCTTGTTAATACTGATGTTAAAGGACATATAAATGCAAAAAAACAATTAACACGTCATTTAGATTTATGTACAGATATATATGAAAAGAAAAAAGCAAATGATTTTAAAATTCAACTTGAAATGGAAGCTGATATATTACATTCACAAAATTTTGATGAAATTGTTTCATATATACATACAATGATATGTCGTTGTGAACCAAATAAATATCGTCCATTACAATTACTTTGTCTTTTATCAACAGCAAATAATGGCTTAACACGTGAATATTATGAATTATTATGTCGATCATATCTTCAAGCATATGGTTATGAAAATATTCCACTTTTATATAAATTAGAAAAATTAAATTTATTTTATGTTAAAAGACAATGTGATATACCAATAGCAACGAATACAAATTCACCTGTTGGTTTTCGTGGTGATGCTTTATTAAAAATGGGAAAACAAGTGGCACAAAATCTTACAGAGAAAACACAAATACAAAAAACATTTTTTCAATTTATGAGAAAAAGACTTAATTTAACACCTGATCTTAATCAACAAGCTAAAACAACGCTAGGTCCAGATATGGTATGCTAGAATTCAAATATTTCGACTTGTCCAATCATATTGAAATCACATTTTTTCTATTTTTGTATTTATCAATAACTCAACTGAATGTTTAGTTGCTTTCATAAATAGCAACAAACAAAAAAAGAAATTATGTCAAATTTCACAAAGAAACCAAGTAATTCAGGATTCACTTGATGTCTTTCAGCTTCTGAAATCCGATTAATTTCGCTAAGTGTACGTTTGATTGTTGCTGTTTATGTTGGAATAGAACGCAGTGCTGATTCCAAACATCATAGTTGCCGGTGCATACATGAATGTTTTTTCCATCACGATAATAAATGTTCACCTTATTCATTATTCATTTTCCTCTCTATATAATTAATTACTTTATCATCATGTGCAGATGAATTTTCATTAAAAACAAACTCTTTTAGTAAAACAATATCGTTTTCCATTTCTGTGACCTATTCTCAAGTACTATAAACTGCTCAATCATAATCTAACCGATTTTGCTTTCTATACTTTTATATAAATAATTAGCAGTTTAAAAGAGCGAAATTATTTTGAAACGTCGAGGTCTCACATATTGCCGGGTTGGATGCCAGGTACTTGATCCGGTTGTAGGACAATACTCCGCATCTACGTTCTTTTTGAATGACAAGTGAAGTGAAATCTAAACTTTGATTGGCATTAATTAAATCTGACAAGTAGTTTACGATATTAACAGGATTTATAGTCATTAAGGTTTCTTACGAAGCGAAATAGTAAGAAAATACTCGCTACTAAAACATGTGTTAAATAATTCCTGCCCTGGTAATCATAAGCTGATTTTATTAGAAGAGAGGAAAGGATAGATTGGAATAATATGGATTAAAATAGATCAAAATTTGAATAGAAAATCTGAAAACGAACCGAGGAACATCTGAAATTAAGGGAAAGCACTTAGTAATAAAACGTATAGAATGTAAATGTTGAAAAAAAAAACTTTTTCACTATAGAAAACTGGATCTTTGAATGTCCAGCGGACAAAAATCATCTTAATATTCGAAATCAGTATGGTTGATTATCCGCTAAGTTTTAGCTAAAAAGCGATTGAATCGTTGATGACCTTTTCTCGTCAGTGTTTTCGTTTATCGACTTCCTGGAAATAGAAAACAAATTAATAAATTCATTTAGTTTTAATTAATTAATTATTTATTTATTTTTCTTTAGGCAGATATATTTGGTTCAATGTATGTTCCATTATCATGTCGATTAATTGAAGAAAGTTTATTAAATCCAACAAAATTATCAACACTTCAACATGAACTTCTTCAACGTGGTTATCCAGGTGCTGAAGATCTTTTTTCACATCGTTCATCTGGAATATCAACACGTACACAATTTCATGATGTTTATCATTCAATTCTTGTTGTTTTTATTGGTGGTTGTACACAATCAGAAATCAATGCTCTTCGTATGTTAGCTATGAGTAAAAGTAATATAAAATGGCAATTTTATTTTGCACCAACAAATCAATGGACACATACAAGATTATTACAAGAAATTGAAGCATCACAATGATTAAAGAACTATTTAATTTTAAGAACAGTTCCTATCTTCATTTTTTTTTCACTCAATTTTAGCAATATTCACATACAGCTATATATATATATATACGAGATTTTTTTTTGTCATTTGTATGCTGAGCTTAAAAGAATTTTCGTTTATGAGTTTATTTCTTTAAACATTCTTTTTTCAATTATTCGTCGTTTAATTCTTTTCTTTTTTAAGTATTGAAATAAAATTGAAAATAATGAAATGGTCTTCACTGACCTCTGCCGATTCATTTTGTCCTCTATTATGAATTGTACATTAAAAATTTGACCGTTAATTTACATAATTCAATGCAAAACAAAAATAAAATAAAACAAATAAACATAAAATGAGTCGTTCTAATAATCGTACGTCGGATTATCTGCTGGCTTCAGCAGAACATACAGGTGCATCATTATTTCCTTCTGGTTTACTTATGTATGATTTACCATCATTACGTCGAACAGCATCTCGAACATTGAATAATGTTGAATTAATTGATCGACAACCATTATCATCATCATCATCATCACGAAAGCGATCACCATCACCAGTACCTTCTGTAGGTTATATAGAAAAAAAAAACAAATGATAACTTTTCTCAATATAGTACTGACTTATTTTTGTTCGGTATAGAAAAATGAATAATTGATGGAATTCGGTGCATCGTTGACTCCTTAGATTTTTTTGCACATCTATAATTGATATGTTCCTAATTGCTATAAACTTCGCTGGTCTTATTGCAGGAATTTACGATGAAAAATTTTAATCGAATAAAAACCTTTCTTTTATCTAAAGAGAAAGCCTTTTAGGAAAGCACAGACTTTATATTTATTACTTAAGAGGAAAGGTTTCTGACTACCAGAGCGTTTTTGAGCTGATATTTTGGTCGGACAGTAGATCTCGATAAGTTTAGAAAAATTTCAAAATATTTCAGGCTAATCGGCCTTCGTTTAACAGATACCGAATTTTTTCATGTATCTTGGAAATCTTTTTTTCGTCGTCAAGAAGAGTCTTAATTCATCTCAGGATTTATTCGATAGATTCTACTATCGACAAGTTCTAGGATAAATTTCAGCGTGATTCATTCGAAATCTCAGGATATATTGAATTTCCAGCAATTCACATGTATACTTTAACTAATGAAAATCATAATTAAGAGAGGAATGATCAAAAATAGAGCGTCTTCACACCAACTACAACAGATGAATGATGAACAATCACATTTTGAGGATGAAAGTGTCCCTCCACTCACATTCTCTGACGTATCCAATGGCACGCACTAAAACTTATCCTAAAACTTCTCGATAGTAGAGTCTACCTAATAAACCTCTCAGATAGTCTAAGATCCTTTTTTTAATGATAAGAAAAATATAATTTCAAAGATACACGAAAGACGATTATAAGATTTTGATTCACAAACCAAATACATGCAGGTTAGTAGAGAAAGACTTCTTCTATCTAATGATGTATGTATCATCAAATTTTATTGTGTACCGAATTTTAGCAGTTTGCAATAGAACTTAATAATACATACACCGTTAGATATCGGAAATCTTCCTCTGCTAACCTACATAGACTTCGTTCTGGATTCAAAGATCACTGTGACACTTATATTTGCCATTGCCTTTTTGGAGCTTGAAAATTCGATATATCTTGAACGAAGGCTAGCGCGCCCGAAATATTTTGAGACTTTTCTAGACTCATCGAGATCTGTCAACTGACAAAAATATCAGCTCAAAAGCGCTTCGGCAGTTGAAGGTTAGTGGCTACATTCGACAGATACTTTCACAGTCATAGTACAGTTTTCAAACTGTTATTTTATATGAAAAAGTATACTATTTAGTTTCTTTCGCAAACAACTGCTAAAAAAAGAAATCATCTTCAATTCCATAAAAACATAAGTGAGTCAGAATTCACTTGGTATCTGTTTGTTTCTCAAAACTCGATTAATTTTGCTAAGTATACGTTTGCTTGTTGCTAATGATACTAGAATAGAACGGTTGTTGGTGCCAAACATTATAATTGCGGATATATACATAAATGCTTTTTCCGTCATGATAACACATGTTAACGTTTTGTAAAATTCATTTTTTCCTTTGTGTAATTAATTACTTCATCATCATCATCATCATGTGTAGATAAGTTTTCCAGTTCTGTGACTTGTTCTCAAGTATAATGAATTATTCAGTCATGATCAAACCGGTTTTCACTCCTATACTTTGATATAAATTAGCAGTTTGAAGACGTAAAAGTATTTTGAAATGGCGAGATCTTATTAATTGCCCAGTATGATCTTATATCCGAACCTGAATCGGACCGGGTGGCAGGACACGACTGAGGACCTTCCTTCGTTAGTAGCATTTGCATTTCATATAATGTTATTCAAAATTCTTATGAACTAGTATAACAACTCGATAGAAAACAGATTAAATAACGAGAGAACCTTCTCAAATACTCGCTTTCCATTTCAACGACTTTTTGCCTATCAATATTACATAGTGTTCTAATAACAACCCGAAAAAGATTTGGATTCCTATTGAGATTTGACTAAGCTATCGAATTTTTTTCAAGAGCCCCAGGTTTCCAAAAAACTCGTATTTTCGAATTTTGATGTGAAACTTTGCGCATAAAGAGAACTCAACTAGACTAGTTTCCATTAAAAAAAACTCAGAAGCTTTCAACAAAGTCTTTTTGAGATACAAAGCTTTTTCTATGGATGGTGTATACAACATGCATTTTTTGAAAGCTTCATATATCGAAGAGACTTTGTTGAAAACTGAATTTTTTAAGGAAGTTAGTCTAGCTTACTTCTCTATATGTGCAAAATTTCAGATCAAAATTCCTGAAATATAAGTTTTCGAAAATCTATGACCTCTAGAAAAAGATTCAATAACTTAGTCATATCTCACTAGGAACCCAAATCATTTTTGGATTTTTATTAGATTACTATGTAGTATCGATGAGCAAAAAATCATTAAAACGTGAAGAGAGCATCTGAAGAGGTTATTTCGTAAGTGATTATATAAAGGCAATATATACACAAACTATTTTTCTAATATATTTAGTCTTCATCTTCTCCTTCGTCAATAGCCGATGTTGATTTATCGGTCGATGATGAATCAAATCAAAAAAATTTAACAACATCAGAAGATTGGTGGCGTCAAGGTTTTATTTTATTTTTCTAAATTGAATTTTTTCTATTCAATGTTATTTTTCTTTTAGCAATTGAACCAATACCAACAAAAACAATTTCTATATCTCATTCAGCATTTAGTATGAATGATGATGATATATCAAATGATACAAGTCAATTATTTTCTCTATTACCATCATTTAATTCAACACAAAGAATAATTGTACATAATCAATTATTGACTACTTTAACACAAATCTATTCTGATAAAGCACTTGATTATGTTAAACAATGGTATGAACATCATTCAGTACCAAATTTAAATATTTTAATAAAACGTGGTTTATTAAAAATTTATAAAGAAAAATCAATTCGAATGACAATTAATAATGTAAATTATATTTATTTATTTTTCTTTTCATGATTGTTTTTTTTCTGTTATTTAAAGAAAAAAGAAATCTTTGGACAATTAGATAAAAATGGTAAAATTATATCAACATTTGATAATCGATTATTTGATTCAATTGAACATTTTTATCAAACATATCAATCACGTCGTAAAAGAAATGAAAATTTAGCAATTATTTATGAATCCGTATATTGGTATGATCAATCATTTCATTCAATATTACTTGAATATGCTGAAACAATGTAAAGTAGTACAATTAATCTTTTCGTTTGTTTTAATTTTTGTAAAATTTAGTGTAAAAATTTCTGGTATGAAAACTCGATTAATAACGGATGATGAACTTCTATCAAATAATTCATCAATTGATATCTTGCCAAAAGAAATTCTTTGTCAAATTAATTGTTGGAATGAAGGTCGAAATGAAATCGATCTATAATCAATTTCTTCTATTGATTTATGATTTCTAATAGCTTTGTTATAATAATCAAATGTTGAAAAAAAGAACAACATATTCATCTGCATTGTCTTTTCATATGTGAACATATCGATTTACAATAAAGTATTTCTTGAAAGATCGGATAAAAAAAAACTAAACTCAAATATTGATATAAAAAACGTAAGCTTTTGTTATGTGATAACTTAACCGTCATTTTCTAGAATTTTCACACTTAGTTGAAACAAAAAAAACAAATTGAGATTGAAATTTTTGACGATGGAGTTCTTTTTCTTTCTTTCTTTCTTTCTTCTTTTTTCTCAGTGTAGGTCTTTTGAAATTAATATTCGTATCTTTGCTTATTTCTAATATACGTTTAAAGAATATTTTAATTATCTATTTCGTTGCTATCAACAAAAGTCGTATACTTAGAAACATGAAACAAGTAAGTCGCATCAGACGAGAAAAGAAGAATCACACAGTTCCCGTTACTCAGCGACGGGTATAGGATTGTAACTGTTATTGAAAAGAAAAAGGCGTCTGGTAACGACGTCAACATATTTTACTAGACACATATCCAAAGAATGAACGACAGACGACGAAGAAAAAAAAGAGAGAGAAAGTCTGCCTACTTTTTACCATAAACGAGAGATAATGACGTTGCCTATGATAGAGAAAAGAGTGAAAAAAAGTTCAAGAAAAAACTCTCATTTCAACTTAGAAAAAAACTCTTCTACTCCCACATTATTGTCGTTGTTATATTTCTTTAGTATCGGATCATTTTATGTCTAAATAATATAATGAACGTAAAATAAAGTAGGTTGGTCAAATTAAATGAATTAAATAGTATAACTTGTATTAATAAGCATAGAAATAAATAATATAAATTCTATAACAATTAAATATAGGAATATTTATATACCATAAAATTATAACTTTATTTTTTTTAAATAAAAATCTCGAGTTTTAAAGCTAGTAAGTGAAATTGAAAGGCAATTTTAAGTTATTATGATTTTTTTTTTCTATTTATCAAATGTAAAAATCACCTTGTCAATTATCAAGTAGCGTAATCGACATTTACTTCAATGAAAGAAGATAAGCATTCAATCAGAAATTAAAGATAGGTTTTTTTTTGTGAAACACGATCTAAAAGGAGTGTTGAAGTATAGGGAATAAAAATTTACATCAGTCCTTACAGATCGTGAAGTGCACTTTGGTAATTCTATCCTTTAAGGATATAACGGCTGTATCGTGTTTTACATTTTAATTCTACAGAGATTGTACTAAGAACTATTTTACATTATTTTGTAAAAGTTTTTATAATAAATAGAAATAGTTTATTGAGCACGAACAAAAGTATTATAAGGAATTTTTGATGCAATAAATAGTGATTGTTGATTTAATATTGATTGTCGTTGTTTTATTGATAGTTTTTCAGGTAAAATTTTATTAATAGATTGATCAAATTTTATACCAAGTAAAAATGCTAGTTTTTTAATACTATGTAGAACATGATCAAGATTAATATTATCAGCAATTAATTTTGATTGAAATAATGGAATAGTATCTTGAATAGTTGAATAATAAAATGGATCAATATAAATATGGCAAAGAAATTCTTGACGTTCTTTTTTATTCATAGAACATATTAAATCAATAATTGAATGAAATATATGAATATGATCATGATGAATGATTAATTCATGTAATTGTTCGATTGTCATATTTGAAAGATTTTTATTCAGTTGAGTTGTTCGAATAAAATTCATAAGCGATTGACGATTATTCCAATCGAGTAAAACATATTGCTTTTTATTATATATTGAATTTGTTCGTTCAATAGATGAAATATTGATTAAACTTGAATCACTATTCATAGGTTGTTTATAAAGAAAATTTATTGAAGAAATTTTTGATATTTTATCTATAAATAATTATTAGAAAATTTTTAGTTATCAAACATTTTATTAAGAAAAAAAAATACCTGTTGAATATGATTTCTTTTTTAAATTAATCAAACATTGATTTAATTGATTCGAACATGAACATTGTGTTAAATTTAAATGACATTTCGAACAATACTTTATATTGAAACTATGTTTATCTAATCGATCAATTTTTGTTTTAAGATTATTAGATTCAGCTTTTGATGTGATAGAAATATATTTATTAAAACATTGTTTAGATATATAAGTCATATTATATGGTATTTGATATTTTTTTCGAATAAGTTGTTGTTCTTTTTGCCATCGATATCGAATTTTATGTAAACATTCATAATCATTATGTGTCATATCTATGCATGCGTGGTATGTGCGTGTTTGACTATCTGGATAATTAGATAGCAGCAAGAAGTCTAGTTTTTTTTTTTTTTGTTTTTAGTATTGTAAATTATAGATTATAATTTAAAATAATGGAATCAAATCAAGTACAAACGTATCATATTTCTCGAGTAGAACAACCTGACGATAAAGGTTAATAAATTTTTTTTATAATTTTTTTTTTTTTTATTAATTTCTTTTTTTTGTTTTTGTTTGTTGATAGAACAAATCGTACTTCGAGCTCTAATTGGTAATCCAAATCGGCATAAACCATTAGTACAACATCCACCACCGACTACAAACAAATCTCAAGACGCAATACCAGCACCAATGTATACACTTGAAACTCGAAATCGACCAATTCCATCAAGAGTATTGCCAAAATCAAAGGAACCAACAGTGTATTATATTGAACCTAAACGAGTTGAACAATCTTTGACATATAGTGTTCCATTGTCGAAAGAAGGTATATCATTATTTTTTTTGAATTTAGATAGAAAAAGAAAAATAATGATTTGTTTTTCAAATAATAGAACGAGATACAACACAACCTTCCGAACCAGAAGTATTGAAGAGTGTAGAACAAGAACAAGAATCTCCTCCAATTGATTTTCTCGAGCCTAAAATTATTTCACAACCTGTTCTTTACAGTGTTGTTGCAGAGAAAACTCCTTTGGTTCAAAATGATCAACCAATAACAACTAATCAAGATGTAGATTTACCTATACTTTATGCCATAACTGGTCAATCTCATCTTCCAACTATAGATATGGGTGCAACTACTTCAAATGTTAAAACACCTGTTGTTGATAAACCTCCTAATTTTTATTCTTTGGTTGGTAATCCACATATTCCAATTATAGATATGGGTGCAACTACTTCAAATGTTGAAATACCTGTTGTTGATAAATCTCCTAATTTTTATTCTTTGGTTGGTAATCCACATATTCCAGTACAACCTGAAGAACCAATATCAAAAACTTCATCACAATCACCACCAAACCTTTATTCAATTGTTGGTAGTCCAATACTTTCACCAAATACGTTACAAACAAACGCAGTTGATTCAACACCGTTGACACAACCAGCAGAAATTAGTTCCGTTCAATCAGAACCAGTTTTATATACAATAGTTGATGAAAAACAAATGCCAACTAATATACCAAAAGAAGATCATCTACCGCCAGTAGAACCTGTTAAAAAACAAACAAATGATTCTACTTTGTATACAGTGATTGGAGATCCTCAGATACCTCAATCAATGACACCTATTCACAAAACTCAACCAATAAAACCACAAGCATCATCACAACAAATTCAAATACCTACATTGTATGCAACAATTGGCAAACCGAATTTACCATCGACAGAAAAAATGACTATTCAACCAAAGTAATTAGATATCATATTTCATTTAATAATCATTTATTTTCTTTTATTAATTTAGACCATCTGTATCAAAGAAGACACCATCATCTACTGACGTTCGTACTAGACGAACTAATCAAAGTCTTGAACGTAAAACAGCACCAGAAGCAGTAATCGAAGAAATTACTCCTATTTCAGATACAAAAAATAAACGGCACACGAAATCACAAGGTTTTTTTAGCATAAAACTAACTTTTGAATAATAATATTTCTCTTATTTGTTTTAGAATTAAGAATACCAAAATCAGAAACCATATTTGTTCCTATTCCTGAATATGAACGTGCATCACGTCCGAAACAACTTCGAACAACTCCTCGAAATATAAGTCCTAGACAAACACATTGCAAAACGTATGCGGTTCCACGTTATGAACCATTTCGTCCATCTGATTACATTTCACCATATACTTATCATCCATCAAAACCATATCGTGAACAAACATATCGTCCTAAATTATTACCTATTGTAACAAATAATTCTTCTGAACGTAAAACAAGACCACTACTTTATGAACCTCGTCATCGAGTCGAACGAAAACATCCGTATGATCCATGGACACCTCATTCTTTAGTAAGTATTTTATCTTTTTTTTTTCTTGTCATGTGTTGTTGTTTTTTTTTTTTATAAATTTTTCGATGAATAGGAAAGATATCCTTATAGTACAAAGCAACCCTCTCGTTTATGGGATTTCGAAGAACATGCTCTAACCGATGGTGATGATGATATGAATGACTCAACATCAAGTGGACGAAAAGGAACTTATCGAAGAATTCGATCACGTTCACCATGGATACCTGTTTGGTGAACAAATGAATTTTTCTTTGTTCGTATATTTTGTATAATTATGTCATTGAAATTAAAATAAAAAATAAAATTTTCAATAAATAATATTTAAATTTTTATTAATAAAAACAAATCTTATTTCATTTATAGTTTCTTTTGTTTTTTTTTCTAAGAATATGAATGTTCTTCGATGAATTTATAAATTTAACATCCTTTCATAAATTTTTTGAATTCTAAAAGAAAGGAAAAAAAATATATATATATGACAAAAAAATTCTATGACAAAGTATATATCGTTTCTTTTTTTTACCTTCAAAACTAATTCTTCCATCTTGATTAATATCAAGACGTTTAATAATACCTTGGATTTCTTGTTCAGCAGCTTCTTGTGATATACCAAGCATTTCTTGCATGGGTACATAATACTGTCTTAATTCTTGAATCGTTATTGATTTATCATTATTTTTATCAATTCGTTTAAATTCTTTTTCAAGTTGTTCGTCAGTAATATTAGCCATTGTATAATAGTAAATATTAATATGTTTATATGTTTTATTTTAAGATAAATAAATCCACTAAGATAAAAGTAGCATATTTATAGTAATAACGTGTTGTCTTAATCATGCTTCACTGATTTTGTTTTCCTTGTTTATAACTTATATTGCTTTCGTACCTTGATATATCTGAAACAAAAAATCATTACGTTAGTTTCAGATTATTCATGATGCACTTGACTGAGTTTCTTTTTTTTTTGTATAGATGAATAATAAGAGAAAATAAAATGTATCTTATTGTCATGATTAATGACAATGTTATTAGAAAAAGAACAGCAACTTATTGTAAATGAATAAGAAAATAAACCATAGGAGAGACGTCAGCTTATTTTGACACTAATCAGTTTACCATGAAAATGTTTATATGAACGTAAATAAAAAGAAAGCATAAACAAAATAAAGAGAATTTAGAAAGAAAGAAAAACTTTGGACTTTTTTTCATCAATATCAAATGCAGAATCTTGAATTGTTACATACATAAAAATAGAATCTTGTAGATCTCATGCAGAGTCATATTTGCGTAGTTTTTGTATGTCAAAATTACAGGGGAAGTATTGCAACTGCGTAAAATATATGTCTACTAATGGTGTTATCAATATTAACGCAGATCTATAAGTAAAAAAAGACGTCACACGACTTTTTAAACAGGTTCTACCGCGTGTCTTATCGACCTTTGTGATATGTGTGCTTTGAGAAATGACTAAGATGACTTTACTATGAACCATTTATTTTTATTAGCTATTAGAAATTAAAAGAATGATAATCGCTACATATATATATAGTGTTCTTTAAATTTAAAACAATTAACTATTTTTAAATATCATGTAAAAACAAATGTTTTGTGAAGTATAGTAACAGTCCAAATTATCCAACCAGTAGATAGTTATATTTTATTTTGTGTGTATCTCAAAAACTAGATCAGCTAAAATCATATAGTTTTCATCAAATTACAGACCGTATTTCTAGTATAATAGTAAAAAAAGTTCAGGTCATTACATTGAAATGTTTAACTTTTAGTGATGATACAACTGTAACGTGTTGTGTATCATCCTCTCAAAATTGTCTAACTATTTATTTTGGCAAAATTG